CTCCATTATCATTAAAATTGAATGTTTTGTCCTAGTGTTGAAGGGATGCCATACTTCTTATGAATGACAGCTTCTGTGTTTTTTCACACAGCCATGGAAACTAAGGTTCGGGAGCACAAATGTTTACATTATTGCTGTGCAACTTCAGTCACAAATTTCGTACTCATGTTCTATTCTACCAAGGTGGTTTTATTGTCAGTAACCCTAACGACGACCCTCCGGAAGGTAGGCAAGTACATTGTGCCTAGTTGACAAACAGCCTGGTTGCTGCCATAACAGCAATTTTGGCAAGGTTGAGTACTAAACCCAATGTTGAGGAAGGGTAATGGCAATGATGAAGAGCGCAGCAGACTATCTCAAAAGTTATAGCCAACTGTTTCTGATCTCACGCCGGTGCCATTTTTTTCGGGCATCTGTAAGACACGGATATCATGATTAAGTTACACAAAAAAATACGCGTATGGATTAATTTTTCATGCACTCACCGATCGAATTTACACAGCAAAAACGTTCATAAAACGGATAGTCTACAGCTACATCGCTATTCAGCGGGTTGGATGCAGGGCAACATGCTTTCTGCATCCTTAACTAGCAACGAATATGTGGGCTTGCAGACACCAACAAAACGGCCAAAGCTGACAGACAATATGGTTCCAAATATAGTTATATTAAAATCCAATCCCCGAAGACATTATGGAATTGGACTAGATAGAATATTCATCAAGTTTTAGGAATCGAGTTTTCTAACAAAAGAATTCCTCACATTATTGACAGCATATTTCACTGTGGAAAACCAATTCCGTTTTTAAACATTCATCTCGGAAGGCACGACAGTGGGCAAGTGAAGGCGGAAGCCTAGTCAGACACACAGAAAAGGCATCCACCACTCGGGGGATAAAGAGAGCCATGCACACTAAGAGAAGATACGGTAACCACTTGACTATTCGTCATATCTTTCTGAATTCCTTAATCACTAACCACATTTCAGTGATTATAACACACTGTGTAGTAGAGACCATACATATTAATTATTCTATAAACTTTTAATTTTGGGGTTAACCCTCTTCGAAATATGGAGAAAATGTTTGAGGTTAACTATGCGGTGATTCAAACGAACATGGAGCTCCGGGATCCAATCCAATATACAATATCGTTTTTACAAGCTAGTATAAACCAATTTGATTTCTTTGTGCTCGCTTCTTGTTTGTAAGGTATAGGTTCCCGATCTTCGGTAAACTTCTGCGTAGCTTGTCCCGCCACTCGACTGTCGTAGCTTTGGTTGACTCCAAACGGAGTAGTGCTGGAATTAATTATATGTGGTTTTGTAGTATGAGCTATGTTAAGACTGTTACTACTGTGATTGGAGTTGATCCTTTCGCCAGTTAGTCCTCCGGTATCGTCGACAAGAGAAAAGAGATAATAGTAATAATGCTAATAACAGATATAATTATTCAAGTAACCCTGCGACACTCCTGATGACGATCTGTGCCAAGATGATCGGACTCGGTCAACCTTTGTGCAAAATTGACTGTCGGCTAGGTAGTCCTTTAACCATGACAGAAGTGGCTCACCTATACCTGCCTGGCTTATTTTACGTAGGAGAAGGTCATGGTGAACAGTGTCAAATGCCTTCTCAAAGTCTAGGAAGGCCATATGGACTGGTACATTCGTGATGTCCAGTCGTCTCAAGCTGACATTAGGTTAGTAACGCAAGATCTGCCTTTTCTGAAACCATGTTGGGCTTCATGTGGTATATTAGTCCTATCGAAATATTCCCTGATGTGGTCGTCAATAATACTTTCCAGTACTTTTGATACCACTGGGAGTAGAGCTACTGGTCTATAACTTGTGGCGTTTTGCCTGTCCCCACCTTTGAAGATTTGAGAAAGGATGGCTCTTTTCCACTCCCTTGGCAGTGTCCCCTAATCCACTGAGTGTTGGAACAAGTCGCCCAGGGGTCTACAGAGAGCTTTGGCGCACTGTTTCAGAACAGATGGCCTGATGTCGTCACAACCTGGGGACTTCCCAGGTGTGAGTCGCTGTAGCTTCCTTAGTACTTAGCTGGGTTTATTTGGGGAGTAGCCGCTAGGTCTTCCTCTTGTGAAATAGTGGTGCCACCATTTTGGTCCGTAACTGTAATATCCACATTGCTGTTTAGTTGTTTAGCGAAGGCTGAACTGAATGTTTCAGCCATCTCCAGACTAGTGAGATATTGACCGTTTGGGCCTACTAAGGCGCATGCTCCCTGGTTTGTCGGTTTTCTTTCCGACATGAATCGGTACAAGTTTTTGGGGTTTGCTAGGAGTTTTTTAGCAAGGTTGGCCTGGAATGACCTCCAGTCCCTCCTGACTCTTGCATTACACCGGTTCCTGAGTTCGGGGTATGCATCGCGGTCGGTCTGACTCTTAGATACACTTCACGTAAACCAAGTCTTTCGCTTTGATTTCAGAATACGCTGCGTGCCTGGGATGGACAGCAAAAATATCTGATGAGCATAGCATTGGGAAATTATGTATGAAGTATAATGTCAGAGTCCGAAAATATGCTTCTAGATGTACCCTTACCTTATAATCCAGACGCATCCACCGAATCGGGAAAACCAAAGTGAATTCTATCTCCAGAACCACGGATTCGTGGCACTACTTGACTGTTAAATTTCACAGTCATTACTATGTTTGACGAAACAAAAACCCCGCTAGGGTATAACTAACAGACAACATATCAATCCATCTAGTTTTGTTTTCGCTATAGAAATGAAAACAATCATTTCACATGAACCCACTGTTACAAGTCTGCCATCAAAGCACCTTGGAACCATAATGACAGACCATGTAGACATGGCTGTTTTTAAATAAATGATCACTTGGTAGCAAAGGAAGGAAGAAATGGAAACCAGCCCTTGGAGTATTCTACCCTTGTTGTGCCTGTTGCTTTTACTGAGATTGAGTTCAAAATATGGGTGGCAATAATAACTCCGTTATGTTGGCGATAATTACTAAACAGAATGCCACTTAGTTAAAATAAGGCACAGGACACCTGACCACAAAATTAGAAGAGTTTGGTGTAGGTGAATACGGTCTAAGAAGACATCAGCGTTCTGGAGAGTTCATGAGAATTGAAGGTGGAAGTGGACAGTGAGCATCTGCAAGCAATTCCTGCCCAGGAAATACAAACTAATACTGCCCGTATTGATATGTAGCTCTGAACAAATTTATCAGCTAGGTTAAGTATGTGTCTTTGGAAGCCCCTTTAGAGAGTGCATCCTCAGCCTGGAGACGTCCGATAAGTGTCATGATGCGTTCAGAAGATGACAAAGTGTAGCAATTCATAAAGACATTTTAGTGTGGTATCTAACACCACAGGTTTGCCTCGAATGAACCTATGCATGTTGTATAAAAGAGAATAATTTTAGGGTGAAAAGATGGCAGACTCCCCATTGCTGAAGGTTTTGGGGACGCCTTCTTTGTTCTGATTCTCCATAGTTCTCTAAACACGTGTTAACATCCCATTCTGTTTCCTTGATTTTGAGGGCTGGACGAGAAGGTGCTTAAACCCATTGTGCTTAGGGCCGGTAGCGTTGTTATTATTAGCCTCGAGTATGATTTCAGCTATCATTAACACTTTAATCGTTAAACACAGCAGATATTCTGCGTGAGGCCTAACATACCTACAGTAATGGCTGGTGATTTACTTCTGACTTGCTGACAGCTAAGTCACAGCCAAACGAAATGTTTAGGTCAGAATGCCCTTGTCTATATATTATTTATCCCCTACTTAGATTAGAATTTTCATGGATGGAAGGGAATTCCACTCACATAAGAATCACATACACCCTATGGGGTGTATCTTAGACATTGATTATTGTAACTATGCTTTCAGGCTGTTAGAAACACTTAACAGTTCTTGTAACTGCTCAGAATGAATCAATGGCTGTCATATCTTCGTTAATAATGGTTCAAAATGCCCCCAGCGGGTGCCCTGAAAAAGGAGTACAGACCGTATTCTAAGTGGCTTCGCAGATTGGGACTTCCTGTCATGCGTCGTTTTTTATTAAGAACTAACCTTTGGTACATGTGACACACGTGACCATCACACCTCATTTTACTGTGTACAGTCTCTGAAATTTTCGAAGATTTATTAAACATACGAGTGGTGTTATCTCGATGTTTTTTTATATTACTGCACTGCATCTTTCAACGGAAGACATTAATTTATCCGCAAAAATGCAAGAACTCATCACAATTTTAGGTATCGAACCACAATTGTCAAACTTTATTTTCAAGCAAAATAGTTAGTAGTTCCATCTTACTTACATCATGATACTCCTTCAAGAAACTTAAGCACGGTTAGTCATCTGATATTACGAACAAGAGGTCGTCACATCTGTTTATCCCTAGTCTGTATATAAGTATCACATCATCAATGGACAGATACAAATGAAGTCGAGACCAATAGGCAGGGTTGCATTTTCTGCCCTCATTGTTAGCGATACAGTTAATCTTGGGGCTATGAATGGGCACTGATACTGTCTTCTTATTAACTGCGCATGTCCCTGCCTTTGGCCAATCTGAGGACTGAATAGTGACTAGACCATGGCACTAGCAGCGCTAAAATCCCGAATGCCACTGTGAATTTAATTCAAACGAAAAAATACAAATGGTTTATCCTCGAGTGAATGAATCTGCCTAACGGAAGCCAAATGATTTTATTGAAATGCCAGTTAGAAGTGAGAAATGAAGGTGAAAAATTAACAGATCTATACGAACTGATAACCATATATTGACTATATGTTGCGGATTATCACAACAAAAGCGGAAAGCTTCTAATGACTATGCAAACTATCCAGTTTTAAAAGACACGACACCTGAATTCATACTTTTGGCGGAGAATCGGAGGAACAGGAAAATGTTGTAAGAAGTCTCTCGGTTGGACCGGTGCGTTTTAATAAACCCAAGATCCAGCTTGATGTAAACGTTGCTTTTTCAAAAGCTAATGCGGAAATGGTGATAGAATTAGTCCTCATCCTAATAATGGCTTCTGCCTACAGATGTCAAGTTGGTAGGGCCATATTCATAACTTATATCATTATTTTGATTCCTGAATCCAGGGATTGGATCAGAACTGCGATGTTATCAGTGCAACTCATTAACCCAACCACATTGCGGAGACTACTTCGACAATCGAACTTTTCCACTAGTTGCTTGTCCAAATGATGGCAAGAATTATTCCAGATGTGTCAAAATGATCCAGGAAAGTAAGTCTACTAATATTACTGTATACCGTAAACTTCCATAGAAGTTGCGATATTCATTACCCAACATAGTTTTTGCAGGTTAATGTTAACCTGATTGATTTTTTGGGCTCATTTATTAGTTGTCAGCTGGAGGTTCCTGTTGTTCATAAAAACCGTCCTAAAGTATTTGAGTGAAACTGTTGATTCAAGGTGCAAAGATAAGTCAGGTAAATTCTTGTTGACGTAATATCTTAAAGGGCCCTAATGAAAAGTAGTTGTATAAAGGAGGTGATATAGCAGTGGGTTTAGCGTTTAAACGTTCTGGCGCAGCGTTCGTCTAAATTTTCTTTGTCTTCTCAATTAAGTAAAGTGTGACAACTGTTAGGAGTCTAGCCTTGTGAGTCACATGGCGTCACAAGTATCATACAGAATATCAAAATTTTTTTGAATTAATTAATAGTATTGAAATTCATCTAGCAGATGATTTGCAACTATCAGCTGGTTTTAAGACTTACTGGACTTAGTTTTGTTGTGTGCAGCCAATGAATGCAGTTTATGTCGGCAACTATAGAAAGTGGGAGTAGTCTGAGGTGATTTTTATATTCAGTTACAGTCTAATTATTTCTTACTGGAATCATTACCATTTAAATAAAGTAATGATTCACTCAAAGTTCAAATTTCTTCGCCTTAATAGCGTGTGTGGAAGTTTCAGTAATACTAAAATTTATGACTGTTTTTCACCGCTGTACCTTATTCTTTTCAAACTGAGGGGCTTAAGCTCTTTTTGAACATCTCCGAAGAATGAAGAGATATTAGTAATTTACCTATTTCATGAAAGCCATATTGAGAGTATTAATATCTCAGTAAATTGAGTTACCTGACTATGTCCAATCTGTGACCTGCAGGTTTTCTCTAAGCCAACATTCATCCATTTACGCCACCACGAAATATCATCGTTATTCTGTTTAGAAACTGTAAATGAGAGCAGCTATGGCGTAAATCGCCCGTCAGCTATTTTTAAGAACAGTTAGAGAATTAAGTGCGTGCAACTGCTCAACAAACAGTATATACTCAAATATTTATCATCATTACTACTGAGGGTAAATGATAGTTTAAGTCGTCATTTAGTTGACTATGAGTTGAAGTGTCTTATCACTTTCTTTTCAACAGGATCACAAGTCATCGTGCATAATGGACGGATTGATTTCTGCATTTGCTGTCTTTTTGAGGTTTCTCTTGCAACTCGGATAATGCATTAGTTCCCGGCAACACCGAAAAGAAGTAGCTAAAGAAAATGATTGATAGATAAGCAGTGCAAGACTGTATAAAATAAGAGGTATATAGGCATCTATTCGGTTGAAACAGTAAGTCTTATTCTAATAGTCATAGTTGAAATACTGAGCATGTTTGTGGCGTTTATATAAAGTATAAAATAATGACCAATCTTTATCAATCCCTTGTTAATAAATTGGAAGTTAGGCTATATCACTCCTCACATGCTTCGTTTATTTAAAAGGTTATATCACTCATAACGGTTTAGTTGTTCTTAAAGTATTCCAAAGCAAACAGTAACCGTTTCACTCTTCTCTTGTTCTCCATAATTTCCGTAGCCTCATTTATAGAATGGGACCTGTTAGGGGTAACTGTGTTAAGAATCATTGTGCTTTTCTATAACACCAACAACTTGTTAAAACAATGAGTATATAAATTGTCTAGCATTTTGAACGTGGGTGTTTTTTTTAGCAACATCCCTACAAGTTAAACCAAAAATTATGTATTGAAAGGAAGAAAAACTGGTCAGTTTGTTAGCAAATTTTCAGCAACTGCGATTTTACGGATACCTGTTACACGTAATGCTTTGGTTCAGATTTTTTTATCGTGTTCACCTTTTCTTGTTTTGTTTGGAAGTGTTATGATACACTGATAAACCTTCATGTTAAGCTCTATGTCGATCTGCGCCATGGATTTAATTTGCTAAAATGTCTTTAAGTTTTCAGAATTGGATTTATTTCAAGTTTGATCATGAATTGATAATAATGGTCCTCTATCTGTAAATTGTTTGGCTCTATAATTTACAACATTTTGATTAATAATTGTTTCAATCAAAGCGAATTTGTTGATTTTTGTTGCTCATGCATTAAAACATTTGAATTTAGTTGTTTCCCCACACAGTTCCTTGAGTCAAAATCCACTATCTTGAGGACATTGTTTTCAGTTTGAGTTATTTGACGTCCGAGTTTGCATTCAGAGTATCGTACTTCAATCTGTTCACATCAATTTATCTTATAAAGGAATTTTAAGGCTTTATTTCTACGCATATAACTTTGGCTTCTCTGTATATCAGAGTTGCTACTAAAATAAAGCAAGAATATTATGTTTATATAAAATTTTCTTTTCAAACTACGTGTTATGGTTTCTAAAATGTTTTTGGTATATAAAGAGAGTTAAACCTCTTTACTACCATTAAGACCTGGCAGCATTCAGTGAAAATTGATGTCACAAAAAACTGAAATTACTACGACACAGTGATATTGAAGTTAGGCACAGGGTGTTACGTAAGGGGAGGAAGTCAATCCCAGGGAGTTGTGAAGCTACGTCAGTTGAGATGGCTAGGACGCTTGGTACACATGCCAGATTACTGTCTTCCCACTCAGTCTATGTTAGCTAACATAAGATTACGTTGGAAAAGATTTAGAAGTGGTCAAATCAAAACCTGGCATCAATTGGGGAGGTATTAGACTGTTTACTTGGACCGATGACAAAGAGAGGTTTCGACTGCCAGGCTGTCGTTGAGACGTTAAGCGCCATTGCTTAAGACTGTTGGTGACACTACTGAATATTGTCCTCATAATTGTAGATGTATTCACTACTAAACATCTCCTGGGTTCTAATGTTTTTCCATGGGATCGCTTTTTCTCTGGTACACTTCTATTCATTGTAGTTGTTTTGAATATTTTCTTTTTCTTCGTGTTTTATATGGAATGTGGTAACTTGAATTGCTGCGTTCCTGTTCAAAGCTCTACACCGAAAATCAGATAGCTGGTTTACAAAACAGTTGATTTTATTTAGTGTGCATTATTTTTTTCCATAAGGTGGATTAACTTAGAAAGATTTTTGAAATGTTTCTTCAAATTTAGTCACTTATAACCTGAAATAGTTTGGAGTGGTGTGACACCTGTTTTTCATAAATTTAGTTTTCGACTTCTATTGAAGGTGGTGAGCGAATCCCGACAACAATGAGGATTTTTGATAAAATCTTTATCTATTTAAGTAACTTATTCTTGTCTCTGTAATCATTCAAGCATATCCCCAGTCAAAGGAAGCATATACTATTTGCTGAACGAGTAGTGTTTCTTTTCTCTCTACACAAGTGTAAATGTGGAAGATTCCTGTACTTATCAGGTGTCGGTTTGCAGGAGTTTGATCATGAGCTGACATCAGTTACAGTACCACTGAGAAACCAGGGGGAAATGAACATCTGTTTCATCCTAGTTTGGGACTTACCCACCCAGATCCGAATACAAGATCGTCCTGTTACAAGGAGAGCTTATAAACCATTTAACCACTCGAACTCGATCCATTGGCTCATGGATTTCAACACCTGCCTATTCTCTGGTTTTTTCAATGGTTATCTAACTGATGTTAGTCCGTTATCAATCCTGTAATAATTTTTCAGAATACATAGCATAATAAGATTATTTTATTTTTTATTTTTGATTACAGCTTGATTCCACACCGTATTTTTGGTACAAGTGTGGAATTTTCAGCGTGGGTATCGGTAGCCCAAAATTTGCAGGCCGACCATAGATAGAAATACTTATCATTAATTACACTTAAACTCCTTAAATCCCTTCCTCATTTAGTTGTCAGATGGGAAATTAATAATCCCTTGTTAGGAACACTATAGACAGGCAGATACTCCTTACAAATTCAAATAATTTAGAGTATTCAGTCGGGAGATTCACTGAGAGTTGACTGAAATTAATATATTTGTCATGACAAATCGTATATTATTCTTATTATTCTCATGGGTTCCAAGTAGGACATAATTAAATGGCGCTGCGCTGCTGGAAATTCATTTTCTCTGCAGTCTGTTTTTAGTCTGATTGAATGGTCTCCGTGTCACACTGAGACACGCAACTCATTTTTCATCCCGGTTCCACTAGACAGCCTAGAGTTTAATGTCACCCGACAGTCTTCTCACTGTATATGCAACCATCTATCTTCATTGCCTTCTGCATATTTGCTGACCGAGAGGTTCTTGGTTGGTTCACCACTTGCCAGTGTTCCGTATTTGGCCAGCCATATGATCTTCACTATGGAGTGGAGGCAGATTTCGATGAAAGTCTGATGTAGCCTTTTGGAAGAGCTTTCAGTGACGCGGGCGCCAAGTTTCTGAACCATATAGCAACAATAATTTGGCATTAGTGTTGAAAATTCGGTTCTTGTTGGTTGTGTTGGGTACAGTCGACATTCACAAGGATATCAAGGTAATGAATTTCTATCTTACTTTCCCGACCCTGACTGACTCTGGCATGGTCGTCCATTCTGCCTGTAGCTGAAACGATTCCTCCCGTTGATAGTGATTGGTGTTATTGGTTGGATACCTTCACTACTTAAGTTTTGTGTGTGTATACTTGAAGTACTGCCTTCGCTGCCTACCTCTTTTGACAACTTGATGGTTATATTCTGAATATCTTACAGTTCGCTTGACATTTGACACAATTCATCCGCGAAGTTCAGATCTCCTATAACCTTTTCGTCTTTGAAAAAATGGATATCACCTGGAAAATCTTGGGAATGTAGTTAACACTAGACGGTTACTTATCTTTTACTTTTGTTTTTCACTCCTCTTGTTATGAGTGGACCATAGGGCTTCAAGATATGATGTTTCAATGGCGATGGTGCTGTTCGTTTACTGTCTGCGGTTGCTAGCCTCACGCTCAACCTTTCCTTTTTTTCTGGTTTCACTACCGACCAGTAAACTAGACGAGTTTTAGGGGTTCATCAACCGGGAATTGAACTTGGACCACCTGCCTGGTTGGCAAGCATTATACCGATGTGCTATTTTTAATATATATTACAATTTGAAGGGAAATAAAAGCAGCTTTTAGAGCCCTCCTCTCATAGTTTCACTAACTGTGCTATGATTATTCAGTTTCATTGGTACAAATAACTATCCTCACATTGCAAAGTACTTTTCATTACAATTATTCACATTAGTAACGAATTTAGGTTGTCAGTGCTCTCCGTTGAAGAGTCAAAAGCTAAGATGAAACCAGTCATTTAATGCTACTTAGGCTTGTTAGTGATTTTATTTTACTTATTATTTCATTTCTGTCACAAAACTATGTTAATATAGTAGATTTTTTTGTTTCAGTTTTTCCTCAAAGTCGATATCATTTGATGTAATTTGTAAAATAACTGTCCTGTGTAATAAATCCCCATTTTACTTATGTGGTTGGTTCTTGTTTTTCCCCTCTTACTGTTCAGTGTATTTAGATGGAAAGTGGACTAGACGTTATTATCGAGATTGTGCAGTAACCGGTGTAATTGGTGCAGAAGATGGTCGTTGGTGTATTGATCGACTAGGCACATATCGTGTTAAAGTTCGTTATTGTAATTGTAATAATAAAAATGGATGTAATTCAACTCCACCATTGTCTGTTTCACTGACATTCAATACATTTATGATCATTGGATTATTATTGTTATTATTTTATTCTTCTCGAATTATTTAAGATTAGAAATTCGTATCTTTAATATATACCGCCATTTGTGTTTTACTTTCATTAAAACACTTGTCAATGTTTCAATACACATGCACACATATCTATTCATATTTTTATTATTTACAACAAATAATCAGAAATCATCAGTTTTTATAAACTTAAAACTAAAAGATCATTTTCTTTTCTTTTCTCTGTTTTATTGTGTTACATCCATTGTGATAGGAGAACAGACAAACATGTATATATAAAAAGGCTTTGTTGATTGATTAGTGGAAAGATTGTTTTCTTGTCTTTTTGTCTTTATTGAAATGTACCAGTGTAGTATGGGAGTTGGCAGGTCAAAAGAGATCAAGCATTTTGCCGCTATAAAATCAGTTGATGGAAAATTCAGGATAACTGGAATATAAGAAACAGATTCAGCGAAGAAAATTTTCTCTATCGACGAAATCATCTTCAGAGGCTGCCGTACAGTCGTATTTATACTTACAAAATATATATACAGTGGTCTATTATTGAGTAATAGGGGTGGGGGTGACATAATTGATATAATTACTCAGAAGTGGCTTTAGAAGTGAAAATTAAAATTTGTTAATTACGTGGTACTCAACGGAACAAAGATAGAAGTTTGATAAGGTTAAAATTGCTATTGAGTGAGAATAAAGGTGATAGTTGAGTGTCGATTTAACAAGTGTGAAGAGGGTGTGGAATGTACAAAAGGAACATATGAGAGTGATAATAGTGAATTAATTATTAAAGCAAAAGCAAACTAAAAGTAAAATTAAAAAAGGAAAAGACAAAATCAAAATTTTTTACAGGGAACGATTAGTGAAGAGGTTAAGACCAAGGTAGACGACAATACCAACATCGTATTGATAACTAAAGAGTTCAAGAGATGCCATAATGCCATCAAGTTCACGTCGGAATCAGAGATTAATTCGGAATTCCACTTTTTTGGATGTTTTTCTGAAAAGGAGATCTGAGGCTTCTCTTCAAAGATCGATCTACAGGAAACCAACATGGAATGGTCAGTACACAAATTTCCATAGATGTGTCCCTTTGAGAAGAATGAGAAATCTGATTCATTCCTTATCCTCAAGAATACATGATACAATCAACGGGGAACTGGGGAGACTCAGACAAGTCCTCACAGAGAATGGATATCCTCCAAGATTTATCGAGAAAAACATGAAGTTAAGGGAAAAGCCTGAAAGAATCCAGATGGTGCCGAAGAAACTGCTATTTACGAATGTCGAATTTAAAGTTGATACCGCAGCTGAGATCCTGAAGATTAGCTTATGCAGAAAGCCTTCTTTATGGCTGAGCTACGTATCAATTTCTACAACCGACAAATGATCAATGGATGTGTGAAGGATAAACTGCCGCTTTGGACGGGCCACTTCAATATGTGTCTATAAATTCACCTGCTCGTGTGAAGCTAGTCATATTGTCCGCACAAAGCACACGCTTTCCAAACGCATCTCTGAACATTATCCGGCATGGTTAACAAAGGGACAATGTAAGACAATCACTAGCTCAATTCTCGAGCATTTGGTGAACTCAGGCCACGTAGCTCCACCATAGTCGTCTTTCAAGATCATCTACAAAGTGAAGCCAAATGGTACAAAGGGCGTCAGGTTTCGGCTTTTGCGTATGGCGGAGGCGTCGGCAATTCATCAATACAACCCTGAACTCTGTATACAGAAAAAGTTTGTCCAGTCTCTTATTCTACCTCGGTCTTAACCTCTTCACTAATCGTTCCCTGTAAAAAATTTTGATTTTGTCTTTTCTTTTTAATTTTACTTTTAGTTTGCTTTTGCTTTAATAATTAATTCACTATTATCACTCTCATATGTTCCTTTTGTACATTTTCACACCCTCTTCACACTTGTTAAATCGACACTCAACTATCACCTTTATTCTCACTCAATAGCAATTTTAACCTTATCAAACTTCTATCTTTGTTCCGTTGAGTACCACGTAATTAACAAATTTTAATTTTCACTTCTAAAGCCACTTCTGAGTAATTATATCAATTATGTCACCCCCACCCCTATTACTCAATAATAGACCACTGTATATATATTTTGTAAGTATAAATACGACTGTACGGCAGCCTCTGAAGATGATTTCGTCGATAAAGAAAATTTTCTTCGCCGAATCTGCCTTTTATTTTCTTAATGACTCAATGGGTATTTTTTGTGATAACTGGAATAAAAATGACTCTTGTTTGTTCCTTACTTTCCGAGTGGACTAAAGGTCTTCAAGCTTCATAACTTTCGGTAGCAATTCGGTAAGATGGTTGCTAAGCATACAGTGACTCAACTTTTCGTCTTTTTTCGAGCTGACTACCCTCTAGTAAACTACTAGACAAGGTTTAGGTGTATGTCTGTTGTCTGGGAATCGATTCTGGACCACGTGGTTGGCTGGCGAGCATACCAACTGGAATATAGGGCTTCAGTGGTACATTTCCCCTGAACTCTGTTCTCTTTCATCATTTACAACGAGTTTGTAGGAGTTTTAACAGTGAGCTCGGTAACGGTACGAAGTATCGGAATAAAAATCCAAGTTAATGGAGAATATTGGAACAGTAATAAACTTCCTGGAAAAATTTGGGCGGTGAATCATATTATTGAATCATTATAAATTATTTAAAATAATCTGAGAGTGTTTAGGGAAGATTAAAACAAGGTTTTTCTGAACGCTTCTCTGTGTAGGCCACCACAGGTTCTTCAGTAGAATTATTCGACTTTTATTAACCATCAAAATATGCAGTCAAAAATTACATAAATTGAAGTTAGTTCCTTTGAAGGTCACTTGTCGGTAGACATTTGTACCAACAGAAAAATGTAAACAGTCACCACATATTTTTTTAATGACTAATGTCATATATGTGCACTTCTCTGTACAACTTTGTTGTTTGTTATATGGAAGGCAAGTCAGATCATGATATTATTTCACAGTGGTCATAATATAGGATCGAATTTTTGTTTCTCCCTCGTCTGTTTTATTTTCATTAGAGTCTTTCATACAGCTGATAAGCCTATCCCTTCTCTATTATTCAGAGGTCAGCCTTTCTTTATGTATTGAATGAAAGCCTCTTCCTAGAATTGAGACATTGTCAAAATCAATCTTATGTCCACTGTCTATAGCATGCATTGCTATTGCAGATCTTTTTTCTAGACTTTTTAATTCTGCTTCATTTCTAGGTGGATGTTTCGTGCATAGTCTATGTTCATTCCCTCTGACCTTCACCTGTCTACTGCTCTCCCCTATGTGTAGCATGCTTCACATTCTGAACACTTTATCCTATAGACACAATTACTTTGTGACATTTTGGGAATCATATCTTTGACATTCATCAAAGCTTTCTCTAGAAAATTAGATGGCTTGAAATAGACTTTAATGTTATATGAAGCAAATAGTCTTTGAAGTTGTTCAGCTGTATCTTTTCGATATGGAATGGTTGTCGTCGACAGCCAAAATTTTTCAATTTCGTGTTTTCCTATCTGATCCTTTTTATTGATAATATTATTTAGCAACCTTTTCAGATAACCGTTTCTAATCAGAATTTATTTAATATTGGAGATCTCGTTCTTCCAGTCATCATTATCTGTTATAGTGTTAACAAAATATGAATAATTCTGCTGAGGAAGCTGTGGGGTACACAGCAAGACGTTCAGAAAAATCCTGCCTTTGATTTTTCCTCAAACACGCTGAGATTATTTTAAATAATTTTAAATAAATAATGTTCATCTATCGGTTCACCTGCTCTTGTGGAGCAAGGTATATTGGCTGTAATCAGAAGACGCTATCCACACGGATACGAGAACATATTCCAACTGCATGATTTTACAAGGGACAAAGGAAATGTGTGCGAAACTCTATTCTGGATCACCTGATCGACTTCTGTCAACCCTGACCATGATTTTAAGATCATCTATCGAATCCATGCTAACTTTCCGCGTTTCCTTCGTTACAGATATTAGGAAGAGGCAAAACACATGCAATTATCAGGTCATTATCATGTCTCAGTCAAGTTATTATCGCGTTATTAACAAGTCGTTGACATGCAATTGTTCCTGCTTCTGATTGGACACTTGCACAATTCCAACTCTTAACCGGATTGGTTGATTTCCAGTCTACCTTATTTTCTGTATAAACACAGTCACTTTTGTCATAATAAATGAACCTGGTTTTACCGCTGATTCTCGCGTGTTCTGCTTTACCAGTTAAGTGGGCACTGGTCAGTAGTTCAGCAGTGACCTCGTGACAAAAGATCTAGCATCATAACAACAGACTTCTAAAGACAGCTGAGGCCTTGGCAATTCATGACTTTAAACCAGACCTTTGTGTACAAAAGAAGTATGTACAATTCCTACTTCTCCCTTGGCCGTAGAGGGATAGACATTTATTTATTTTGTTTATTCAGTTATTCTATGTACTTTTCCCTTATTCCTACGATTATTATTATCATTATTATTACTATTCTCACTCTGAATCTTTTCCACTTGACCCACTTGTCATTTTAAACCCAAAATTATTAATTTTTATATTTGTCTACTAATCTTATAATTATATACCTCTTTCCAAAATCTATACACCTTATGTATTTATTATTCTATAAATGACATTAATTATTTTGCCATTTGACATTAAACTATGATTATAATCACAAATATTTCAATTGCACTTCAAACTATTATTATTTCATGTATTCACGCCTTTGACCTAATTTCCCACACCGGATATAATTTCTTAAAATCCATATATATACGATTGTACAGCTTGATAATAAATTCGTTGTTGAAAAGAGTCTCTTCGCTGAATATTGTGTTTTTAAATAATTAATAATTATTGAAATAGTATATTATAAAAATACAGTTTGCGAGTTATAGAAATTAATGGTTACTTGGTGATACGGTTAAAGTCTACTACAACAAATTATTAATATAATCCACAGAAGTGTTCGCTTCTGGGGTCATTTCTACTAGTAGAAGCTGTGAACCGGT